GGCTCAAAACGGGGCTCGGCATCGATCAGATGTCGCCGCTGGGCTTCGACAGGCTGCCAGGCTGCGCAGTGGCAGAGCATGTGAGTTATACCGGTTAGTTGAAGGAGGTTGATCGTGGCCGTGGCAAGTACTTACTGTCATCGGTCGCCTCCTGGGTAAGAAATCAGGAGGCGATCGGGACATCGGCCTCATCGCGACGCCCCGTCGGTTGCGGAGCATGGCGCGAGAAGGGCAGGTTCGGCAGTGGGTTTTGGACGACGAGCCGATGTGGGACGCGGCAGTGACACGGAACAGCGCCCTTCGTGAGGCGTATGTCCGTGCCTTCGAGGAGGAGTTGCACATGCGTCTTCTGGTTCCTCATGGGCGTGGGCTCGTTGATGCGCAGGCCTTAACGATAGTATTGAATGGCTTCAGTTAGCGCGCGCTGCATTACGCATGAAGTTCCCTCCGACAATTGTGTTCCTGGAATTGTAAGTATGCTCCAGTCCTCGGTGATTGCGCAGTTACCGGCATATTCGCTGCCTTTTCAGCCGGCGAGGTCTGTGGTACAAGGCTTCCGGAGCGGGACTTGTCTTGCGCGATGCATGAGCCAGTGGGTTATTCATCGGCTTGCACGGCCCATCCTACCTTATCTCAGAGATTATGGATCGATGACTGGCCCATGCGAACGGCGGGCCCCCGTAAGCACGCGCGCGCGCAGCTTGTCAAGGGCATCGCTAGTGTCTCGAAGTTTCTGAAGATGCAGGGCCCAGCCATGTCACCGAAGTCGGCGGTCTCATGTGCTCACCACGCTGACGCCAAGGTCGTCGTGCAGCAGTTGAAGCGCGAGGGCATTCAGATCCAGGGGAGTTTGCAGCATGCCTACTCGGGCGTGGGCCCGGAGGCAGGCTTCCGCCAAGCTCGAGACGCAGCCAGGAAGCGGGTCGTGAAGTCCAAGGGGCAGCGTGGCAAGCTTCGGCGGCACGCTCGAGCATCATGTCGGTACGCAACGACGGCAAAGATACAAAGAGCTGGCCCTCAGGCCGCGGCTGTGCACGGCCACCAGATCAACGGGTGCTTTGGGTCGGCCATGGTTTTGCAGAGGCGCAGGTTGGCTGCGGCGGCGAGCTCGGCGAGGAGGGGGAGACGCACGACTGCCCTTCTCGCTCGGCGCCTGCCCGGGCCTGATCCCGGTCCCGTGCTGGTGTTGCCGCGGCAGGCGATGGCTCAGCGGTTGCAGGTTTGGCGAACTGAGCCGCGCCTCCAGGCAGGCATCGAGCGGGTCTGGGCCAGCACGGTCTAGACGCCGGCAGCTCTGCCAGAGGCTCATCGATCCCGTTATATCCGAGGTCCGACTTCGACCACCATCGCGCATTTGCTGCAAGCAGGTTGGCTTCCGACCTCAGCTGCCGAGTGGGGCGCGACTCATGATTGCGCTTGTGACCGACCGCTTGGACATGTTCTTCAGCGGCCATCACAGGCCATGACCAAGTCTTGCCCCTCTTGGACGAGTTCGAGGAGGCGCTGTCGGCACGGCAATGGCGCGAAGCAGCTGGTCATATGGCGGGAGGCGTGGACCTTCAGAGTTATCGGCAATGCTTGGCGCCCCTCTCTCACGCGCACAAGGGTCGGCAGCTGGTGGAGCTCACGATTTTCATCGCAGCAGGCGGCTCATGGACACAAGCACGCAAGTTTGAAGCAGGTATTGCAGGTGTTGAGTCGGACCTCTGCCCACGGTGCCGTGAGACGGCGGAGACTGCTTTCCATCGCACGCGGGCTTGTTCTTGCAACGACAATGGCAAGGCTTTCGCCGATACAGAGTGCATTATTTCACGGGCTTGGGCGGAGCGGGATAGTGCCACATGTTTCTGGACTCGTGGTCGTACCCCGTCGAGCTGGACACAGGTGCCCGAGCCCGTCAGCGAGCCACAGTGGGAAGTTGGGAACATGTCAGCACCTCTTGCGCCAGGCTGCCTGGGCTCTGGCCCGCGAGAGGCTCCGCTGGTGGTTGTCGGAGACGCCTCGGGAGGAGCTGGTTCACGTGACGGACGGCTCCGACGAGTTGGGCCTGGAATCGCCACGATGATCGATTTCTCACCGGTGCAGGTGGGCCTTTATATGTTTGGGCCGCTCTGGGGATCTCAGAGCCAGCAGACGGTCCCGCGGGGCGAGCTGCAGTGCCTGTTGTGGGCGATTGAGTATTCACATGGAGTTTTGATACATGTGACAGATAATGATGAAGTTTGTCGAGGCTGGTGGCATAGTTTGTTCTCGCGGCCCGCGGGCCACAATGCAGACCCCTGGAGACCCATCCAGAACACCTTAGTTCAGCAGTCTCGGTCAGAAGCTAATGCTATCGCGTTGCAGGTCTCCTCGCACTTTACCCCAGTTGAGTACTTAGCGCGAGGAGTTGCGAGCTGGCGTGTTCAAGGCAATGAGGTGGTTGATGAGCTGGCGGCGGCAGCGGCGACCAGGTGCAGGCTCCCAGAGGTACACCGTGCCCGAGTCGCCGAGGTCGAGAGGATGCGCACCTTGTTCGGAGGCGCATCCTCCGCGCCGCCCTGTTTGTGATTCGCCACGAGACCGAGCAGAAGCGAGAAGCCAAGAGAGTAGGCTTCTGACAGGGGCTCCTGAGGCCCCTCCTCCTCCTCCTCCTCCTCCTCCTCCTCCTCCTCCTCCTCTTCCTCCTCCTCCTGCTCCTCCTCCTCCTCCTCCTCCTCTCCCACGCCCTGTACCTATAGCTGTTGCACGCTTTGCGATTGTACACACTTTAGGGGACGACGGGAAACGTGTACTGTGTGTAGGGGTAGTGCGTCTGCCGCGTGTGTTCGAAGCTGGCTAAAAACGGAGTGCTCGCCTATGGAAAACGTGAGTTGTAGAATTTCCTGATTCCCCCGAGGGAAAAGCATCCATATAGCTGGCGGTTGGGCTCGCCCCTCTCATAGTATGGTTTATCACGTGACGTCAGGGAAATGGTATTGCGCATTGTGTGGCTTCTTCAATCAATCCCAAATTCGTCGTCTTGGAAAGCCCTGCAAGCCGATGTCTGTGACGAAAGCTCGCCGGGAATATCTCGACTAAATCTCACGTGTTTTACTCCCCAAAGTTTAACTGGGGAGTGGCGGTGGTATTGGCATCTGTCAAGGCGGTAATCCTGGAAATCCTTCTCCTCCTCCTCCTGCTCCTCCTCCTCCTGCTTGCTACTCCTCCTCCTCCTGCTCCTCCTCCTCCTCCTCCTGCTTGCTCCTCCTCCTCCTGCTCCTCATCCTCCTCCTCCGGAACCGGTGCCCCCCTCATGTTCTCCCTCATGCGGCCAGAGCAGCGGCGGCCACAGCAGCGAGGGTGCGAGAGGCGGGGACCAGCAGAGACAACGGCGGCCTTCCCCTGGCGTTTCGCCGTCCTTTTTGGCCTTCCTGGGGGTTTCTCGTCGCCCTCCTCGTCCTCCTAGTCCTCCTCCTCTTCCTCCTGCTCCGCCTCCTCCTCCCCCTCCGCCGCCTCCTCCTCCGCCTCCTCCTCCTTCTCATCCTCCTTCTGCTTCTTCTCCTTCTCCTCCTCCTCCTCCTGCTTCTCCTGCTTTTCCTCCTCCTCCTCCTCCTCCTCCTCCTCCTCCCTGGGAGAGGTCCAGGGACCGATTTTGAGCGGATTTGGGCCGAGCGAGCAAGCCGCCACCGTTGTCTCAACTGGTCTTCCGAGTTGATCGCGTGCTCAGAGAGGGCGAGATGACCGAAGGGTCAGTGTTGTTGCCATGGTGCTCTGACTTGCAGTCGGTTGTTCATTTCCTGGTTTTGTTGAAGAAGGATCTGCATAGACATAAAGTTCCAACGGTCCGCACGGATTTCTGGGATCTTCGTTGTAACCATTGGCGCGCTCGCGCTCGCCAGGGAGGGTGCATATGCCTTGTTTCTCTGGCGGCGCCTCCAATACTGCCCCTGGCGCGCCCCGCAGGCCAGGGCGGGGGTGCACGTTTTTGTTCATCCCGCCGCGCTTTGTCCATTTCGCGAGCGGGGTCGACCCCCCGACCCTCCCCTGCGCCCGCCCTGGCAGGTTCCCCCAGCCGCGCCCCAGCCGAGACGACGAGCACCCCCGGGAGCGCGCCCACGAGCCCCGGCCCGTCGGGCCACGATCCGTTTCGGCCCACGACGCGAGCCCAGAGAGATCCGATGCGTTGCAAAAAAACATAAAAAAACACGTTTTTTTTTGTTTTTGTTGTTGCAATCCTTCGTTTTATTGCAATCCTTCTGACTTTCAGAACGAGCCCCGCAGAAGTCCTGACCCTTTTCCTCGGGGCTGACTCTGCATCCCGAGTCGCCCTTCTCGGGTCGGGCGAAAGGGGGGGTTTGGGAAAGGGGGGGTTACGAAATCTGCTGCATGCAGCTGGTTTCGGCCCCGCCGCCGGGCCCATTCCTCGATACATGGGCGCCTCCCGGCGCCGGGAGGCGCCAGTAAAATCAGCTACGGGAGCTGATTCTCAAACCCCCCCTTTGCTATCCCCCCCTTTCGCCCGGCCCGACCTTCGGCGGTCCCGGGGCCCGGCGAGGGCCCCCAGAGGCCCCAACAATTGCGCGACACGTTCTGCATCTATGTGTTTTTTTCCATGCGGGAGCACGAGGAGACAACAGCACGCCGAGGCCTCTCCGACGAGGCCTTCAGGGGACGAGCTCGGAGGGCGCCCCCGGCTCCCAGGAGGCACGCCTGGCCCGTCCCACTGCTACGCTGAAGGGTTGGGGAGGCAGTCTGAGGCGCGCGCGCGCTTGCCGCCGTAGGCCCCCCATCCTCCTCCTCCTCCTCCTCCTCCTCCTCCTCCTCCTCCTCCTCCTCCCCTCCTCCTCCTCCTCCTCCTCCTCCTCCCCCCCTCCTCCCCCTCCTCCTCCTCCTCCTCCTCTCCTCCCTCCTCCTCCCTCCTCCTCCCCCCCCTCCTCCTCCTCCTCCTCCTCCTCCTCCTCCTCCTCCTCCTCCTCCTCCTCCTCCTCCTCCTCCTCCTCCTCCTCCTCCTCCTCCTCTGGGCCTCCCCGCGCGCGTAGGCCGCCGTGGGGCCCGCCCGCGCCCTCGCAGGGGTCGGCACTGCCCGCCCCGCGCCCAGCGGGCACAGATCGAATGCGCGCGGGCGGCGCCGCCGCCGACGGACGACGGACGACGGACGACGGCAACGACGGACGACGACGGACGACGGACGACGGACGACGACGACGACGACGACGACGACGACGACGTCGGACGACGGACGACGGACGAGGTTCCCAGGACGGTTGACAACGACGACGACGGACGACGTGGCTGGACGACGGAACACGACGAACGACGACGGACGACGACAACGACGACGACCGACGACAGACGAAGACGACGACGACGACGACGACGACGAAGACGGACGACGTTCGAGGACGGACGACGACGACGACGGGCGAGGCCGACGACTGCCGACGGACGACGACGACGACGACGACGACAAATGACGGACGGCGGCGACAGACGACGACGACAACGACGACGACGAAGGACGACTGAAGACGACGACGACGGACGACGACGACGACGACGACGGGCATCGACGACGATTGACGACCTAGGTGGACGACTGACGACGACGACGACGACGGACGACGACGACGGACGACGAACGACGGACGACAGACAAAATCGACGACAATGGACGACGACGGACGACGACGATGATGGACGACGACGGACGACGACGACGACAGACGACGACGTGCGACGACGACTGCGATGACGACGACGGCGGACGACGACCTGGACGGACGACGACACGACGACGACGACGACGACGACGACCACGACGGACGATGACGACGACGGACGACCGACGACGGACGACCATGGACGGCGGACAACTGATGACGACGACGACTACGACGACGACGGCGACGACGACGACGGCGACGACTACGACGGACGAAGGCGACCGACGAGGTCGACGACGCAGGAGGACGACGACAGACGACGACGACGACGACCGACGACGATGACGGACAACGTACGAGGACGAGCCCGACGACGACGGACGGACGGCGACGACGGACGACGACGAGGGCGACGACGACGACCACGGACGACGACGACGACGACGGATGACGACGACGACGGACGACGACGACGGACGACGACGGCAACGGACGATGACGATGGACGACGGACGAGCCCGACAACAACGACGACGACGACGACGATGACGGTAGACGATGATGGACGACGACGACGGACGACGACTACGACGACGACGACTGTCGACGAAGACGGAGGACAAACGACGATGACCGACGACGACGAATTCGCCGACGATGACGACGACGGACGACCGACGACTGGCGACGACGACGACGACGACGGACGACGTCGACGACGCCCGCAACATCGACGACGGCGAGACGACGGACGACGACGACAACGGACGACGACGACGGACAAGGACGTTGACCGACGACGGGCAACGACGATGACGGACGACGACCGGCGACGACGACGACGGACGACGACGAGGACGACGTCGACGACGACGACGACGACGACGACGACTGACAACGTCGACGATGACGACGACGACGTCGGACGACGGACCGCGGACGACGAACGACGACGACGATGGACGACGACGACGACGACGACGACGACGACGACGGACGACGACGACGACGACGACGGACGACGACTGCGACGACGGCGGACGACGACGTCGACGACGACGAGGGCGACCGCGACCACGACGACGGACGACGACGACGACGGACGACGACGACAACGACGACGACGACGACGACGACGACGACGACGACGACGACGACGACGACGGACGACGACGACGACGAGGGCGACAAGGACGGTGGACGACGACGGTTACCCCGACGACGACGGATGGCGACGACGACGGACGACGTCGACAGACGACGGGGACGACGACGGACGACTACGACGACGAGGACGACGGACGACGAAAGCGACGACGACGGCCGACGGACGACGACGACGGAGGTGGCGGCGACGACGACGACAATGACGACGACTGACGAACGACGACGGCGACAACCACTGACGACGACGACTACGGCGATGACGACGACGGCCATGACGACGACGACGACGACGACGACGACAGTGGTGACGACGACGACGACCACGGTGGACGACGACGACGAACGACGACGACGACGACGACGACGGCGGATGGCGACGACGATTGGCGACAAACGACGACGACGACAACGACGACGGACGACGACGACGACCCGCGATGGGCGACGACGGTGACGACTTCAAAGGTGGCGTCGACGAAGACGACGACGACGACGACGACGCCCGTCGACGACGACGAGGACGGACGACCGACGACGACGACCGACGCACGACGATGACGACGTCGAGGAGGACGACGAAGACGACGACGACGGACGAAGGACGAAGGACGACGACGACGACGACGACGACGACGACGACGACGACGGACGACGACGACCGATGACGGACGACGACGACGACATTGACGACGACGACGACGACGCCTGACGACGACGACGACGACGAGGACGACGACGACGACGGATGACGACGAACGTCGACGACGGACAACGACGGCGACGACGGACGACGACCGACGACCGACTACGACAACGATAACGACGACGACGACGACCGACGACGGCGGACGACGGACGACGAGGACGATGACCGTTGTCGACGACCGACGTCGGCCGACGACGGCGACGACGACGACGACTGTTGACGACTACGACAACAACAGACGCCGACGACGATGACGACGACGGACGACGAGGACGACGGATGTCTAATGATGACGACGGCGGCAACAACAATTACGTCAACGTTGATGGGCGACGACGATGACGAGGACGACGACGACGACGACGACGACGGCGACGGCGAGGGCGGAGACGGACGACCACGACGGCAGCGGCGACGACGACGACGGACGACGACGACCACGACGACGACTACGACGACGATGCCGACGGACGGCGACGGACGACGACGACGCACGAGAATGATGACGTCGACGACGGACGACGACGACGACGATAACGACGACGGCGACGACGAAACCACGACGGACGGCGTCGACGGACGACGGTTACGGAGGTCGGACGACCACGACCAAGGACGACAACGACGCCGACGACGGCGACGATGACGACCGACGACGACCGCCACGACGGATGCTGGGCCTCGACGACGGAAGGGGACGATAACAGTGGACGACGACGACGACGACGACGATGGACGACGACGACGACGACGACGATGCCGCAGCCATCGCCGCCGACGACGGCGACGACGACGACGTCGATGGACGACAGTCGACGGCGGAAGACCACGACGACGACGACGACTAGCGACGACGACGACGATGGTGACGACGACGGACGATGATGACGAATGATCCGACGACGGACGACGACGATGTCGACGACGGACGATTTCGACGACGACGACCACGACGGTGACGAAGCCAACGACGACGATGACGACGACGCCGGCAACGACGATGACGACGACTACTACGTCGACGACGACGACGACGCCGACGACATCAGGAAGACGACGACGACGACAACCACGACGACGACGACGCCGCCGACGACGCCGACGGCGACGACGACGACGACCACGGCGACAACGATGACAGCGACGACGACGGTCGAGGACGACCGACGATGGCGACGGACGACAGAACACGAATGTCGGACGACGGACGACCACGACGACGACGACGAAGACGACGACGATGGACGACGGACGACGGACCACGACGATGTCGACAACGATGGACGGGGACGGACGAAGACGACGGACGACGGACGGCGAAGACGACCGACGTCGACGGACGACGGCGGACTACGACGGCGTTGACGATGATGACGACGAGAACGACGACGACGCGCGATTGCGACCACGGACGACGACGATAATCATATGATGACGACGAACGATAGTATCGACGGCGTCGACGAACGATCAGGACGGACCAAGACGATGACGATGACAAACGACGATGACGACGACGACGGAAGACGGACCACGGACCACGGACCACGGACGACCGACGACGGACGACGGACGACGACGACGGACGGCGACGGCGACGACGACCCAACTTGTTTTGCGAACGTGTTTCCGTCTCTCTCTTGCACTTGCCTGCGCCAAGTCTATGGACCAGGCCCCTTGCGGGCGGGGGGGCATTTTTTGTTTCAGCTCGAGGGATCATTCTTCGACTGCGCGATCTGTGTACGCACCGTTCGGCCTTGCGCAGCAGCAGGGAGGGAAGGACGGCGGGAGGAGAAGGAGGATAAAGGATGAGGCCATCCTCCCCTTGGACACGTGTCATGCGGGCCCCGCGGCACCCAGGTTTTCCGTGGCCTGGAGCACCAGTGGCTGCAGCAGCACCACACTGTGGCCACGGTAACGCCGCAGGCGGTGCCTTTCCCAGTGCCAGTGGCCGCGCCGACGACCCAGGCGTCGGCAGCAGATATCTTCTCTTCCGTCGCAGAGCCGCCGTCGTCGTCGTCATCGTCCGTCGTCGTCCGTCGTCGTCGTCGTTGTCGTCGTCGTCGTCTTTGTCGTCGTCGTCTCCCTTCAGGGTCGGCGTCACCGGCCGTAAGGCCTTGGCAACATCTCCTCTTTCGTCGCAGAGCCTGGAGCACGACAAGCGATAGCAGCATGAGGCTGCACCGTGGAGGCGTGTGCCCTCCCAACGCTGGTGCGCTGGTGCGTCGCTTGTCGCCGGATCGTGCGCATGCAGACTGGCTTGCAACATACGGGGCGCTCCCGGAAGGGCCTCCTCCTCCTCCTCCTCGAGGCGTCGAGCGGCGGAGGGCGGCGGAAGCAAGAGCGAGACGTCAACGTTTTTCAATTCTCAAGAGGGGAAAAAACACACAGACACAATTAATCGGCGATTCTCAGAAAATATAGGAAAATATGGGAAGTGGGGGGGAAGACAAAAACCCAGCAAATATGGGAAAATATGGGGGATATTTTTATTTATATATATTAATTTGTGTGTCCCAGTTCCCCTTCAAATTCTACGGTTGCTGGAGTCGGCCATGCAGTCTTCCCTCTCCGCCCCCCGCCTACCAGGTCACCCGCAGGGGCGCGCAGGTGGCCGTGCTTCGCGGTTCGCCGCGTGGGGGGGGGGGAGAGCAACCACTTCTCCACCGCGGCGGCTCAAGAGCGCGGAGATAGCCGCGCTTCGCGGCGCGCGAGGGCGCTAATTGAGGTGGCCTGGGCACCCGGGAGGGATTTGTGGACCACCAGTCTCGATTGTACGCTGGTGGCGCGCACAAGGGGTTGACGCGAGGTGGGCGGCTTTCGAAGGAGGCGAGGAGGCTTCCTGGAAGGAGAAGGCGTTCTTAGAAGGACACGTAGCTTTAGAAGAAGGCTTCTTGAAAGCCAGGCAGGCTTCTAAGAAGGCACCTGCCGTCTCGGAAGCTTCCCCCGCCTTCCTAGCGCACCACCAGGAGACATCGGCCAGCCTTGTCTTCAGACAGGATATGTGGAGCAGTATCGCGTGGACTGTCGCCACCGTGGGAGATGCGCATTCCTCTGAGGCGCGCGTTGGCCAGTGGAGAGGCCAGTGCCTGTGTCGGGGTCGGGGCCGCGTGGGTTGGCGAGCCCCACCAGCCCACACCACCTCTGCAGTCGCCGCGGCTGTGCCTGGCTCGGAAGGGGGGCGGGGCAAACGTCAAAAAGCGGAATCAAGAACGAGCTCGCTTGGGCTGCTTGTCGAACCCCCTCCTCTTTCCAAAATCATCCAACACCATGACAAAAAGATAACGTCGCGTCAGCAAACAATACCATAGCTTCAGGCACCATGACCATGCGTGATGGTTCGAGCCCGACGTCGATCCGTGAGGGCCAGGGCAAAATACACCGCCGGGCTCGCGCTTTGGTTTCTTTCCCCCTCCGTCGTCAAGCTCGCGCGCGGCACGCGCGCACGACCAGGGAAGACAAGGACCAGAACGACGACGAGGACCTCGACGACTGCAACGGCGACGACCACGCGACCGACGATGGCGACGACGACGACGAGCTCTCCCTCCTCGCACCCGCCCGCGACCAGCCGCAGGCGGACGGTGCCGCTGGGGCGGCCGCGCCCGCGGCTGCCGCGCCCGCGGCCGCCGCGCCGCCGGACCGTATCACGTACGGCCGCCGCCTCTGAGCTGCAGACCGCTCCGTCGTCGCCACGGCAGCGGCGGCGACGGCGACGAGCAGGGGAGGGATTCCGGCGCTTCTGGCTTTTGGTCGCCACGGTTTGGTTCGCCCCGAAGGCATGTTCCAGGTTCGATCTGCCGCCCAAAGCGAACTGTAGGTGTTATAATGAAGTGGCTTCGACAGCCTTGCTCCACACCGCCCTCCCCAACCCAGGCTGTGGCGCCCCGCGGGAGGCGGGGCCTGAGAGAGGGGACCTCTCAGTCCTCCCGTCCCACACATTGGGGTGGTGGCACGAGAGAGCGGGCCCTCGAAAGGAACTGGTTTTGGTCTGCTCCCGATATGGTGGCCCAGGAACCGACCACTACAGAAAGAGCGGGAAGTTTATGCAAGAGCGCCAGGCCCCAACCAGGACGGGTGTGCGGTATCGAAGACGCTTACGGCGAATCATCGCCGCCACTTGCCTTTTGGAATTGCCCATGTGGCCGAACGTTGTGGTCATAGTTCCGCCAAGCTATCGGACCATGTGTTCCCCCAGCCATTGTGGAAACCCTTCGGGGAACACTTATGAGAGGATGGCGGGGAAGATCAGGAGGAGGAGGAGGAGGGGGCACTTTGGTTGGGAGCCTCGGGGGGCACTCTTGGGACCTCCTGGGAGCTTCCTGGGGGCCTCTCGGAGGCATCTTTGAGACCTACTTGGGCATCTTGGGGGCCTTCCAGACGTCTTAGGGCGTTCCAGACCCGTTTGACGCTTCGGAAGCCGTCTTGGGGCCTCTCTGAACCGACTTGGGGTCCTCTTGGGGCGCTCCAGGGCCGTATTGGAGGCCATCCTGGGCGTCTTGGGGTTGGGGCCGTCTTGGGGGCCTCTTGGGCTGTTCTGGGGCCATCTTGGAGGCCTCTGGGGCGCTCTGGGGGCGATCTTGGGGAGCTCTCGAGCCGTCTCGGGCCTTCGGAAGGCCGAAAAGAAGCAAATGCCAAAATCTTGCAAACACCATGCAAAATCACTGATTTTGGCCTCTTCGGGTTTTCCTGAAGGGCGTCTTGGAAGCCTCTTGGGCCGTCTGCGAGGCCTCTTGGGCGCTTCTTGGGCCGTCTTGGAAGCTTCTCGAGCGATTTGGGAGGCAGCTTGGATTCTCTTGGGCCGTCTTGGAGGCCATCTTGGACCATCTTGGGCGAACTTGGAAGTTGTATGGGCCGTCTTGGAGGCCATCTTGGAGCCATTTGGAGCAGGAGAAACCTTTGCAACTGGGTCTTCCGGGTGGCCGGCGGCGTCGGCCGAAGTCCCAGGGGTACACACTGTTGATTTCTAATTATTCGAGAGTTCTTTGTTTTTGGAAGGGGCCAAGATCCCTTCATTTCTCATTGTTCTATCATGTGCCTCTTCCTGGCCACTAGGGGGCCAGAAACAATTAGAGACGAGCACAATTAGAAATGAGCCACGTGTCCGTAGCCATTTTGGCTCCAGCGGCCGCGCTTCGGGCGAGGGGGCGGCGCTCGACGCGCTGCTCAGGCGGGAAGCTGGGTCCTCCGCGGCGGCGCGCCTCCTGCGATGGCGGCGGCCTGGGCGGCGGGGCGCAATGGCTGCGGGGGGCTGTCAGCCTGCTGGCAGCCCAAGGCGCTCAGGCAGCAGGAGAACCTGGTGTTGGGCCCCTCTGCGGCGAAACGGGCGGCCAGGCGGCGGCGCTTGTGTGCGCTGGAGGCCTGGTGCCATGCCGTGGCGGGCCCCTGCAAGCCGGGGTCATGGCAGGACCGCGAGAGGGCGGCCAGGCCCGCCTTGGTCAGCGCGGTGGAGGGCCGGCGGGTGGCGGGCGCATCGCGCCGGCGCCGCAACGCGGCTATCCACGCAGCCTGGGCCCCTCCGAGCGGCTTCCTCAGGGCGACCGCCGAGGAGATCGCGGAGGTGGCGCAGGGACCCCGCCTGGGTTTTCAGCTCGAGGCGGAGGAGGCCGAGCACGGGAACTGCGACGTGCGCGGCTTCGCTGAGGCTGTCGAGAGCGAGAGCGAGCAAGAGAAGCGGGCACTGGTGCCGCTCAGCGTGTACTGGGAGGCGAAGCTGAAGCCCGACATCAGGAGGGGCAGCAAGTGGCTCGGGGTCGAGGGGAAGGTCATCCACGTCGCCGAGCTCGAGCCGAAGTTGCTCAACCTGGCGCGTTCTCTTTCCAGGGCTCCTTGGCGGCAGCGGGGGCGGAGGAAGGAGGACGATGATGACGATGATGGGCCCATCCAGGAGGCGTCGGAGGACGGCGTCGGAGTGGGCAAGTTTGCTGGCACGGAGGTCGGCAGCGAGGACGAGTCGGACGGCGGCGACGACGACTCACAGAGCGTCAACCACATGGCGTCGGAGGGCACCGTGCTCAACGGCGGAGGTGGGCTGGCGCCAGGCGTTTGGCAGGAGGCCGACCAGCGAGCGGAGGCAAGGGCCTTCGCGCACGGTTTGGCAGCAGGCTGCCGGCTGGCCGAGAGGGGCGGCCACCAACAGACCGCGAAGGAGGCTGTGGAGATGGCAGCTCCGCAGGACGATGTCGACGCGCGGCGCGGGGCGATCGTGAAGTTCTTCGAGCCGTGCGAGTGCGTGTCGCTGCTGCAGGAGATGCATTTGGAGCAGCCTCGAGGTGGCGGTCACGGAGTCGAGGGCGTTGGCATGAAGTTGGAGTCCGAGGTGGTGGACACCAGCTTCGGCGCCAAGGATGGCGTGCGCATCTTCGAGGAGGTGCGCTGCTTTTTTCCGGAGTGGCCTAGTGGCTGCCTGCCGTTACAGCTCGCGCGCAGCCGTTGCGCCGCAAAGCATTGCCACGGCAAAAAAAAATGAGCGACGTGTAGCCCTGTTGGAAAAAAGACCAAAACTAAGCCGTAAGACGTTCAGCACGCCGGCCACCCCTGCGGCAAGATCACCAAGATCACAGGTGGCGGCGGATCGAGTGGCCTTCGGCCCATCCCGCCACTGCGCATGGTTTGGGGCTCAGAGTTCTCAGGGATGGTTCTCGGAGTCTCTTCGGAGCGCTCTCGGGGGCCTCTCGGGAGCAGTTTTGGGGGCCTCTTGAGAGCCTCTTGGGGGCCTCTTGGGGGGCCTCTTTGGGGCCTCTTGAGGCCTCCCGGGGGCCCCATCGGGGCCGAGGACGGCGGCAACGCGCGCGCCAGCCTGCAGGACGGCGGCAACGGGCAGCGCGCCAGCCACCTGGACCGCAGTCCTCTCACCAGGGGAGGGGGCTGGCGTCAGCTGGGCGGGCCCCAGCTTGGCCCCGGCTGACGCCGCACGCAGGCCAGGGCCGGTGGGTCGTGCAGTGGGGCGAGCAGCATCCTCGTGGCTGTACGACGGCCACATGCAGCACGACGCCCATCAGCATGTTGGGAGCAGCCGTGCGCGTGCAGTGCGACTTGCCATTGTTAAACCCGTTTTCAATTACTGGCGTGGTCCTCGGCTCCTCCGTTTGGGGGCCCAGTACGGGGCCCTGCCCCTTTTCCCCAGCTCGGGTTAACCCGCGGAAGACACGTTCAATGACATCCTCGTTCGCGCGTACAGTATAGGAGCTTTCGACAGGTTCACGGTGGAGCACCCCGACGTTTGGCTCTCCTCTTACGTGGATGGCGATAGCGTCACTTCCCACGGCACCGAGCAGCAAGTTTTGACTCGCATCAGCAGGGCGGCGGCGGCTCTGTTCCTCCTCTTCCGTGGCGAGCTTAAGGTGGCCGTCCACTCCGAGAAGGTGCGTACTCCAGATTTCGCAATAAAGGGAGGGGGGTCTCATTTCGGGGGGGGTCTCTTCCAGGCCATCTTGGAGGGCTTGGGGGGGTCTGGGGACGATGTTTTGGAGGGTTCTCCCACGGGGGGGTCTGAAATGGCTTGTCTTGGAGGGTCCAGACCCCCTTCCCTTTTCCTACGAAATCTGGAGTGCCTTCGCTAGTAGCGCCGTGCTGCACAGGAAGCTTGCGAATCTCTTGGGGAGAATGGCGGGGAAGGTTTCGAACAGCGTCGTGTCGTTGGGGACTCACCTTGCTCCTGGCCAACAACGCTCGAGCGCCCGCGCCATGTGGGAGCGCAAGAAGCGTTTCAGCGACATGGAGCGCCGACATCTAGTGCTTCAACGTATCAGGCAGGGGCTCCCAAGGCACAAATGACGGATTGGGAAAATCTACATGGCAGAGGCCTTCCTTGCCACGAGTTTTGGGTCCGCGGTCCTTGAGAGGAGTGGTTTCGAATTCCAGCAGGCCCGACGCGTTCCACAAAGCTTGCTCGCTTCATGCCAGGCTGGCGATTTGTGGCGACCCCGCGCGGTGCCCTGCCGTTGCGCCCATTCTTCACACTGGGGAACGGATTTGTTAGATTGCCGTAACCACCCCCGAGGCCTCGCACTGCACCGCCACAGACTTTTGCAACATGTGGAAAAAGCGGCTCCGTTTGATGGCTCGGTCACGTGGCGTACGCCCTAGGCGATGCTTAAGAAAACTCACGTTGTTGGCCAGAGTCTCGATTATTCTTAATGTTTCAATGCAAATCTCAAGATGTTACTAGAAAACCAGGGGTTCGATTCGAATCCTGAGATTCTGAATTTCTTAACCCATGATCTCTTAAGCATTTCGCAAGGCGTACTTCTTGGGGCCCTTTTTCTAAAGGATGCACCTTAACCTTCATAGGACTGGTTGGGCCCCGACGGCGGCCCTCCCCGTCCGTTGTTGACGACTGCGGGCGGGAGCAGCGCGTGACTTACACCCCTCTTTCTTTCCTCTCGGGACACTCTTCATGGGGGGGGATCCCATGGGGGGAGAGGATCCCAGGGGGGGATCCCATAGGATCCCCTGGGGATCCCATGGAGAGTCTCCCGATCCTCTCGCACCTCCTCGACCAAGCCATGCGGAGGACCCGCGAGAGCAGACTTGCCTCGGCGACCCCCGGTTTCCAAGGGCCGCGCGTGTGTGCGGAGCCCCTGAACAATTACATAAGTGTCTGTGACCTCGAGAGAGAGAGAGAGGAAAAAAAACATGCCTGCTCGCGAGAAGTACGTGCTCACGGTTTTTTTTTTTTTTTTTTTTTGACACGGGGGCTGGACTCGAGAGCGAGCCAGAGCTCGAGGGTATCAATCGGACGGCAGCTGTCCTCTCTGTGGCTTGGCCGACAGCGTTCGCCACCGTGTGTGGCACTGCATGCACCCAGGCGTTGTGCAGGCGAGGACCGAGGCGTTGGGCGAAGATCCTGTTCTTTGGCATGCCGATGCTATTGAAAAGAAGATAGGACGATGTATGATCAACCTAAGTGGGAGCACCCCGACAGTAGCTGCCCCCCTTTGAGTAATGACCCGAACCCCCACTTCTTATGACACTGGGGGCAACGAAGTTCCGTTGGGGAGCATTGACCTTGTTGGCGCCGATGTGTGCATTGATGGACCAACTATGCGTCACCCCATTCGCGAGCGTTCTCGTGCCTCGTATGCTTGGGTCTTCTTGGGCGGGGTACCCGACGAGATCCTGGCCACTGCCTGCGGCACCGTCCTCGATGCCCTCCCCCAAACGTCCCAAGTTGGGGAACATCTTGGGATGGCCCTCCTCCCCATGTTTCAAAAGCTTGGAGGGTCTCGGCGATTCCATGACCGTGATAAAACTATGTCAGAGCTTTTCCGCCCACTGTGTTTCCTGTAAGCACCGCTATGCAGGACTGAGGCGCGGCGCCTTGCTCCACGAGTCCGTGGGCAATGATCCGCCTGCACAGTATACGCCAGCCCACAGACAGCTGGAGGAGATAGACCGCCTGCCCGTGGATGAGAAACGCATTGGTCTCGGTAACGGGCCTGCTGATGCCCAGGCCAAGAGAGCTCTCCTCGACCACCTTCAACCTTTCCCGCTCGAAATGCAGGAGGTGGATGCGAATTTGGAAAAAGGTCCAGGTGTTTTCCCGTGTCTTCGGTAACGTTTTGGCTGCTGTTCTCCGCAGGAGCGGTTTGAACGGTGCGTTGGAGGAGGTCCAAGGGCAAAGTTTTTGAAATCTGGCGGTTGGCATCCGTGGCAAGACCTCGAAGAAGGTCGAGCGCGCTGTGTTCGTTGTTTGGCCTTCTGGAATGACCCCTCCCCACGCGCCCTATGGTTGGATGCAAAGGCATGCCTCGAACGCTCCAAAAGACCTTGAACCCTTCCGTGGGACACACCCTCGCCCACTGTAGAGTCTCGCGAGGCGAAGAGGAGCAAGCATTGTTGTTATGTTTGGCTTGTGGTGCTTACACCTGTAGTAGTTGCCACCTCTTGGGTAAGGAGTGCTTTCAGCACGAGCTACCCGGCGCTCCTACAACCCTCCGCCGGATTTTTCAGGGTCTGTATCCGCATTACAGAAAGGAACGATCCCGCGTTACCTCCTCCAGCCGTCGAGGAGTTACGAACTTGTCATATGTCCCGTCTTTGCCCCCTCCTGAGGAAGAATCTAGGCACGGGAGCAGGCCCGAATGGCAGGAGCCGCCCGCCGCCGATCGCGGCGAAACGTGATATTAACATGGTTTTGCCTCTGGAGGAATGCAAGAGGAACAAAATACAAAAAAAAAGGAAACACACATCTTCTCACCCTCCTCCTCCCTCTCTCCCTCCTGCTCCTCCTCCTCCTCCTCCTCCTCCTTCTCCTCCTTCTCCTCCTCCTTTTCCCTTTCCTCCTCCTCCTCCTCCTCCTCCTCCTCCTCCTCCTCTTTCTCCTCCTCCTCCTCCTCCTCCTCCTCCTCCTCCTCCTCCTCCTCCTCTTCCTCCTCCTTCTCTTCCTCCTCCTCCTCCTCCTCCACCTCCCTCCCTCATCCCCCCTCCCCCCTTGCTTGTCCGCCACCCCCGCCGGCCCAAGGCCCCTACAATTACCGGCTGGACGTCGAGTCGCTGCCTTTGGACAGCCCCGCGGCCAGCTTCGGAGAGAGGCTGGAAGGCCAGGGCTGGCAGCTTGAAGGCCCAGGGGTCGTCCTGCTCCTCCTTCACCTCCTCCTGCGCATCCTCCTCCTCCTCCTCCTTCACCTCCTCCTGCGCCTCCTCCTCCTCCTCCTGACGCCGATCATCTTAGAGGTAATCCCTGATAATGACCATCAGGTTCCAGACCCAACTCAGAGACTCAGATTGGCGCCTGCCGAGTTAGAGAGAGTTCCAGCCAGCTCGGCACCACCAGCGTCCCGAGATAGCACCCGCTTCTCGATGCTGCAGGCCTCAGGACAGCTGACCCTTCGTGAGCCTAGCCAGCCTGCTGCAGTGCTCCAGACCAATGTCGACCCCCGTCTCCTCACTCCCCGACCCGATCCTCCGCCACGCCCTCCATCGCGCCGCAAAGGCAAACCGAAGGGCGCTGCACCTCAAAAACCGCAACACCCGAGTGCTCGTGAGCGGCTGGCCCGACGAGCGCGGGAGCGGCTTGCTCGCAGAACCAGTGCGCTTGTTGACGCATGCGCCCCTTTGGCGCGAGTGAGGGACCCAGCTCCAGACAGATCCAGAAGTCAGCTAGACAGGCGCGCGCTCCAGTTGTAGAGTAGCCACATAAGTCGTGACGACCCGTTGGATCCGAGTCAGAGTCAGTCAGCAGTCCTTCTCCTCTTTCTCCTCCTCCTCCTCCTCCTCCTCCTCCTCCTCCTCCTCCTACGCCCCCCTCTTTGCTTCATAAGGGCTCCTAGGTTCTACCCGTGCAAAGGAAAGGAGGAGGCAAGTTAAATTGAGGGCGTAGCCTCCTCCAGCTCCATATTGAAATCGCGCGGCCTGCGGCGCGCGTGCGTGAAGAGGGAGATGCAAGGAAATCAGCAAGAGGGACGGGGGGGAGGGGGCCCGCAGATTGAGCAAGGGCCCCAGGATCTGCGTCGACCGTTAGTTTGTCCACCTGTCTAAATCGCCGATTGTGAAGCATACAGGCATTACCCATGTCACACGGGGCGCATGGGTCGAGGGGGGTCAGCAATTTGCAGCAGAAGCTCTGGTTCAATATCAAACCGTGTTGCGCCATGTTGCGAGCCAGCAGTCTGCTTAATAGCGGTCGGTAGGCTTTGGCCTGGGTTGTGCACCATCTCCCGTCCTCTGCTTTTCCCTTGAGTTCCCAAGAGCCCCGTGGGCTTGAGAGCGAGGGACGCGAAAGAACACTGGTCGATCCATGAAAGCACAAACTAAGACTGCTCCAGCAGTGCACTGATGTGTGGCAATCTCCAACTTCGGCGAGCTTGGGGAACAGAGGTGCTGGTAGCGGGGCCCCATGATCGATGGGACTCCAGTTGTCCAGCAAGTGTGTAAAACATCAATACTCGTGCGAAGGAGAAGATTTCCCAGCCTCGCCTTCTGGAGTTCAGGCTGAGAGACGTGGGGGAGACCCCAGGGAAGGGGAATGGAGCCCAGGGGGCGTGGGGGTCTGGTCTTACCACGCTCCTTAAACGGCAATGTCTGGCGGCACTCCAAGTTTCACAACTCAGACCCATGACCACCCCCGAACCGTAGCCAAGCCTGGCGCTGGACAGTCAGGGCGCCAGCGTGCCCTCTCTCGTGAGATCTCCGACCACCTCCTAAGTTGCTATGTCCACGCTGAGAACGAGCACCCGCATCGGAAATTCGTCGGTTATCGTCTCGAGACACGCTTACAAGTAATTTTCACGCCTGGCGCATGGTGAAGAACGAACATGGTCCGCTGCTGGGGGGGTCTCACACACCCGCAGGTTGAGCTGAGTGGTGGTCGTCTCAGATTCATTAAGAGGCACGACTGGAGCCGCGGTCGGGGGTGGCTTCACATATCCGCTGCGATTGAGGGGTACGACGGGAGGTCCGAACACTTGCACTGGCACGTGTCTGGCAAAGGTCTCACATCTTCCCTCATTGTTGTTCCTGGCCGTACCCTCCCTAACTCCGTTCCTGGCTTGCTCAATATCCTCGCTGAAACATCGGGTGCTGGAGCTACGATAGGCAGCAAGACGGTACGTCACGCGATGAAGGTGTTTGATGAGACGCGCTCCGTCCCAGAAATCTGTCATACACACTTGGCAACAGCTTCCCGAGGCGATCCTGGCCAGTGAGATGTACGCAGAATGAAACGTTCCTTTGTGCGCGTTGAGCGCGCGCACCGTAGGCGCCAGGTGGCCACACTCATAGCAAAGAAACTTGGATTGAGAGGGGGAGGGGATTGGGGACAAGGGGTTCCAGAGCAGCCCGAGAAGGACTTGATGCTGGCTTCGAGGGCCTGTCCCAGGGTGGTCCCGCGGGCGCTGTGCTGCAGCCTGGTTTCCACTGGGTTCTTGCCTGGCCATGTCAAGCCGCTGCACATGGCCCTGCTCAGGGTCGTGCAATTGGTCGAGCCAGCTGAACTCTTTGAGCAAGAGTTGGCCCCAGGACCCCGCCAGATCCCAGGACACGTCCAGACAAATCCGGCGCACTGATGGTCCACTTTGCAAAATGTTGGAATGATGACGCAAGCGAGCAACATGTACAACAATGTCCCACGGCAGGCGTCCAATTTTTGTGTTCTATTTTCTTGCACGAGTTGTGTTGTTGCGTTTTGCTGGCCCTCGGAAGCTCGAGGGGGGTCCGGTAAATGCTTTCGTGGGCAGCTCTCATGCGCGAGGCCAGTTGGGTATTTAAATGCGGCCAGGTGGCCGCCGAGCGAAACAACTTGGGCGCCACGGAGGAGCAGAAAAGAACGTGGGGCACAGCAAGCCATATGGGAAGCAAGGCCGAGCGAGCCGAGGAGCATCGAGCAACAGCTTCTCTGCCAAGTCTTCCATTCACACCGACGGTGGATCCCAGGCATTTGCAATCTTGGGCAATGCTACCCTGCAATCCCCACTTTGATGAAACCAGCTGGGGGCACAAACCTCGAACAAGAATCCGTTCGTCCTCTGCGTCATGCACGCAATCGTCACACTCTCTTTCCTTGCCGGCTTCACTGCTATAGCATATAGCGTTGATTTTTGGCGAGAATTTTGCGCTAGTGATTCCCGTTGGCAGCAGCAAGCAACCAAGTTTTGTTCATGTTCATGCGACGTCCATGGCAGGCGGTGGCTTCAAAGATGGCATCAATAACGAAAGCAGCTCTGGCAAGCAGCAGTTTGGAGCCCGTGCTATGACGCATGGCCGTGAGATCGCCGCCAATTGAGACGGCGGCAAGTTGTCCTCCCCAATCGCTCTCCTTAGACAGATCCCTCTTTCACAGGGCCCTGGTTCCAGCACAGATTTTTCTCCGAAACCAAGCTCTCCACCATCTGTTGGGTAGAGCTGAAAACGAGGTTGAAAGCGCCCATGTCCATGACGGACCCCGGTCGCGTCCCGGTCCTTGGGTCGACGCAAAGCTCCATGTTTCTCAAGTCATAATTCCTCCCATGTGCGCCTTTCCTACCGGCTCGGGGAAAAACGCTCATCGAAAACGGAGGTGGTGGCAAGTTGAGCTTTCGCACCCTGGATCAGGACCGCGGGGAGCTCCATTCGGTCCCAGGTTTCCTCAAGATCTTCAGCATTGGTGGGGAATTTGAACGCAGACTGTAGGATTATGCTATAGAATGCAGTCGTGATATCATTTTACACGATGGCTGATGTGAGTTTTAGGGACTGCATGGCAGCAACATGCGCACGCACGAGATGTATGGCCGAGTCCGTGCCTTTTCCTTGTATGCCTCCTTAGTGAATATCCTAGCTCCCATGAAAAAAGCATTGGCACGGTTCTTGACCATGCGATGGCGACATTTGGCAATCGTGTTGCCAAGGAGGATCGTTATTTGAGCTTTCTTAGACGAGGTGTCACCGCTGCCTTTGCGAAGATGACCAACCCCGGCGTCCCTAAAGCCCAAGGGTTCGCAGCCCATCGGGGTTGTTTTGAAACGCAGGGGTTCCGGTGTCTGGACACCGCTCCAGGCGCAAGTCTGCCAAGATCGCCTGGAACTCCGCCAGGCCCAGAGCCCCTCCACGGCGTCGTTCGAGTGAGCACCCTCTCCGGTTCGTCGACGGATGGGAGCACCTGCAAGTCTCTGGGTGTACCTACGTCCAACATGGGGGGATTGCCGATTGTAGTCATCAGCGCTCTTGTCGGCCCTAACTTGAACGCCTGATTCAAATTTTCTGATGAGCGTCCAGCACCTCACCCTGGTCATCACGCCTTCAACACGGTGAGTCGAGCCGAGGTCCTGCGACGAACCCGACAGCATTTCCCAGCACGGTCCCGCTGGTGTCAATAGTGTTGTGGCGGCCACAGCGCGCTGCAGTTTGGGCACTGGCAGGCAGCACCCAAGAGCGGCGTGCGGCGAGGCGACCCCCTTGGTCCGCTCGTGTTCTCCCCTGGCGCTCTTCTACTTCGGGAATCGGGGGGAGGAGTGAGAAGAGGAGGAGGAGGAGGAGGAGGAGGAGGAGGAGGAGGAGGAGGAGGAGGAGGAGGGGGAGGAGGGGGACGGAGGTTTCAATTTGGCGCTCTTCTACTTCGACGACGCGTCGTCGAGGCAGCGCCGCTGCCGTTGCAGACGCCCTCCAGACTCTTGTGTTGCGTGGGCCTTGTGTCGGTCTCCACCTCAACCTAGGCAAGAGCGAGCTGATCGTGCCCTCCAGAGTGTTTGCTGCTAACTCGGCGGCGCTCTTCCCGCCAGCTCTCCTCAGGGATGAGCAGGCAAGCGAGAGCAGGGTCAACTTGGCCAGCGACTTCAAGATCCTCGTGGACCTGGAGGGTTCCTTATTTGGTGAGGGCCGCGGCGATGTCCACGGCCAATCTACGATTGGAGTTCCACCGGCGTCCAGACCTTAGATTCATTTCAAATGTTTCTTTATCCAATGCCCTCGCCGTACTCATCCCCCCCTGCTCCTTCCATCCTGAGGGGGGGAGGGGAGGGAGGCAGACGGCGACGAGGGATGAGGAAGAGGGAGGAGGGAAGAAAGAAGATCGGAGGAGTAGGGAGGAAGGAAGAAGAAGGAAAGGAGGAGGGGGGGACGGGGGGCGTGCGACACCCCTTCCCCTCCCCATGGCCACCCCCTCCACTGGCGCCCCGCTGGATTGACTCTCGGAATGGTCACAAATATGTGGAAGTGTGGAGAAAGGCTCCGAGCCCTGTTGCCATTCCGCCCACTGTTCTGTCGGTGTCATTTTAGTCGGAGATTTTCAGGCTCACCACGTTTCATGGCTCAGGCACAGCCACTCGACGACCCCAGAGGGAATTCGATTTATCGATCTAGTTTTTACTGATCTCCCTAATCTCGACACTGTTGAGGTGGTCAGCGAGGTCAGCGAGATTGCAGACTGTCGCGGATTGTCTCTTCGCTTCTTTCAAGACGCTGAAGAGTCCGGGTTCCGATCTGCGGCTGTCCCCCCAGCATTCTGTCGTGCATTTGGGCGCGGCTGGAGCCAAAAAGCGGCCTCGCTCCTTACCTAGCGTTCCATGTGGCAGCAGCTCGACTGTGCTGGAAGGCCTGGAGGAAGCTTCCAAACCTGGAGATCATTCCCCTGACTCGACATGGCGGTGCAAAATACCCGGAGGCGGCCCCGCCGCCCCCCCCACTCTGCCCCTCTCCGCCCCGCTGGACCCCTCGACCGACCCAGCGCCGAGGGCACCAGCACGCCGCCGTGCTGGCCGAGAAGCGGAAGAGCCGGGGGATCTGCCGGGGCCTCAAGTTGCACTCAGATGCGGCAGCTTTGAGACGGGGGTCAATGCCAACGGGGGTCAGCCAGAGCGCCCGATCTTGCAGGATCCTGCAGGGCCAGGGTCGCATTGGCCCGGGTTTGGGTTCAGGATCCTGCAGGATCCTTCGCACTGACCCGGGTTTGGGTGCAGGATCTTGCAGGATCTTGCAGGATTCTGCAAGACCTGACTGACCCGGGTCTGGATTGACCCGGGTCAGAAGATCCCCGACAGATGCATGTTGTTTTATCAGGCGCTCTGTTTCTCCCAGGATCAAGGCGAAAAACACAGCAACTGCGGCGCACGCCGCTCGAGGGGTGCCACGGGCCAAAATGCTTACGGTTCGGGTGCAGCTTGCGTTGATGCTTCTCTCGCCACGCACAGCTGTCTAACTACTGTCTGCTCCGGCCTGCTTCGCAGCAGACCTGGCGAGCCACCATCGGGCGCGCCGTTGCTAGGAGACTGGCTTCTTGGATCCTGAGGTGTACTGCAAAGGCCTTACGGTAGGTCCGCGTCGTGTCGACCAGCGGCGACCCCGCCGCCTGCGTTCAACGTTGAACGCCGCCAGCGACTCAGAATCAGTCGATGCTGACCGATCTGGCGTTTCGGAAACGGTCGATCGTTCAAGGTTGAACGGTCCCCGTGGTGTCAGGAACCAACGCCAGGGTCGACGGGTCGACACGACACGAACCCGCGGTACGGCCGGTGCCGCCGTCCCTGGACGACGGCCTCGTTGATGGAAAGGGCGTTCGGGAAGGTCGGGACCAGACGCCCCCAAGAGTGCCCAAAAGGGCCACACGGCGAGGTGCCCGAGAACCTCCACGAAGTTTCGGGGGGGGGGTCTTGGGAGCCTTTCGGAAGCCTCCTGGGGTTTCCTGGCGGTTCCTTGGGGGCGCCTTGGGGCCAGGGCGGGGGCCAGGGGGGGGTGATATTCTGACACGGGACGCCCCGCCCTACACCCCCGGACAACGGCCCGATTCGGCGTCAGGCCCGTTTCGGCTTCGGACCCGTTTCGGTTTCGGCCCGATTCGGCCTCGGCCCGTTCCGGTTTTGGCGCGTGTTGTGCTCGATCCGTTTCGGTTCCGCCCGGTTCGGCTTCGGTGCGTTTTGGCTTCGGACTGTTTCCGTTTCGCCCGTTTCGGCTTCAGCTTGGTTCGGTTTTTGCCCCATGCTGCTCGGGATCTTGTGTGTTTCGGACGCAGACAATTCAACACATGCCCGCAGGCCCTTTTGTTCGAGCTGCGTGGAAGAAAAGAGCTCCAGGTTATGCTTTCCCCACGCTTCCGCTTAAATTCCGCCATGGTTGCGGAGCGTGTGTCTCTGTGGTGAACTACGCAGATCACGATCCACGGGAGATTGAGGACGCGCGTTGCTGATGGCAGCGGCACCCAGAGAGCAGCTGGTGGATTGCAGAGGCGACACCAAGTTGCCCGAGTTCAGCGGCAGAGACGAGGACTGGCCCAGCTGGTCCATCAAAGCACATGCGTTCTTGGCGCTGATGGGCTGGGACGACCTCATCGACAATGTCGAGGCCCAGCCAGCGTTGGCAGTAGACAGCGTCAGCATGGGCGAGCGCGCGGCGGCGACGAGCATGCTGCTGCACGCCATGCTGATCACCAAGACCCAGCGCAAGGCGCTGGCGATGGTCACGCTCTCGGGCAGGCATGAGGGTTTCGTGGCCTGCCGGGCGATCAAGAACGAGTACGAGCTTGGGTTGGGCAACAGGTTCGCAGCCATGCTCAGCGGCCTGCTCAACCCCAGGTGGGACGACCAGAAGCCGTTCGCCGACCAGCTCGTCGACTGGGACAACGGCGTGGCGAGGCATGTCATGCAGGCGGGGAAGGACTTCGGAGATGAGTTCCGCATCGCCACGCTGCTCGCGCATAGCCCCGAGCCGTGCAAGACCGTGCTGCGCAATGCTCCGGCGGCCGCCAAGGTCTCGCACATGGCCCTGAGGGCTCACATGCGAGAGTGGATGACGCTGGGGCAGGTCTTCGCAGCCAGCGGCACGGTGGACTGAGGCCCAGCGCCAATGGAGATTGGCGCGATCTCGGGGCATGCCCTGCCGCGGCAGCCTTGGGCGAAGCGCAAGGGCGACAAGTCGGGCGGCGGCAAGGGCGACGAGATGGGCGGCAAAGGCGACAGGGGCGGCAAAGGCAGCAAGAAAGGAGCCAAGAATGACAAGCTCAAGGGCAACACCCCCCCCAAGTTCGAGGGGGGCTGCAACTGGCGCCAGAAGCAGGGGCACATTGAGAAGGACTGCTGGCACAAGGCGGCCGGCAAGCCTCGGGCGCCAACGGCGGCGCCCCCGAAGGCGGCCGCAGTCCAGCAGGGCCCTGCAGGCGCTGAGGACCAGAGGACCGCGGGCGAAGTGACCGCGGGCTCCGACGGCGACGAGGTCGGCTGGGTCTTCGGGGTCAGGAGCCCGGTCGGAGGCTGCCGCAGGGAGGAGCGCAGAGGGCTCATTCTCGCAGGCAGCGGCAGCGACGAGCACCTCTGTGGCCAAGCGTTCGGAGCACAGCATCCGACGGTGCAGGAGGACCCCACGGCGCCCAAACTCACCACGGCGAGCGGCCAGAGGCTTGGCACCGAGGGGCCCGGGCGGGTCCCCATGGCCGTCGGTGGCGAGAAGGGTCGCCAGCCATGCGTGGGGAACCTCAGAGTGAGCAGCGACCTCGCCCCTCAGGATGCGGCGCTCAGCCTCGGGAAGCTGGCGCGCAAGCAGTTCAGGTTTGTCCTTGAGGAGAGTGACCCGCACGCCGTGAACCTCAGGACGGGCGAGTGGGCAGACATGAAGCAAGTTGGCAACGCGTCCTACTTCGCTGCGCAGATCCACGACGCGATGGGCGAAGCCAAGCACGCCGCGGGCCCCGCCGGGGTCGCCGCTGCAGGTGCCGGTGGAGCTCCGCGGGGGCCAGCGCGAGGAGAGGGCCCCCCCCGCATCCAGAGGCTCGAGGGCCACGCGACCCAGCACCACCAGATGCAGGAGCTGCGCCACCTCAGGCGCTGGAGGCGGCGGCGCCACCACTGGCGCGGGAGGCGGCGGCGCCTCCACAGGCGCAGGAGGCGGCGGCGCCCGCGCAGGGCCGGGAGACACTTGCGGCAGCGCTTCCCCCAGGGCGGTCATACCTCGAGGGGCTTGGGCCGAGCTCGAGGATCGACGCCATGCAGAAGCGCCTCAAGGAGATCTACGCCCTGCACTACGGGACCGAGGCACAGTGCCGGGCGCGGCTCGTCGAGCACGAGGGCAGGCGCAAGGCGAGGGCGGCGACGGATGACTACCGCGAGCTAAGGCGCGAGGAGATGAGGCGCCAGGCGGAGACGGGGCAAGTGCAGGAGCCGACCGCGTTTCCCGACGTCCGCGAGCCGACGCCAGAGGAGAGACAGCGGCACGAGGAGAACCAGCACTGCCCACCGCGGCGCCGGTGCGAGCACTGCCCCACGAGCTGCTAGATGCGGAGGTGGAACGCCCCGCCGCGATCGGGTTCGACCTGGCGTTCTTCAAGGGCGAGGCGGGCGACGACGCGGAGGCGGGCCCCCGCGCCGAGGATGGCCAGAGTCAGGACGAGGAGGTGGCCCCAGTGATTGCAGATGCCGACGCGGGAGCCATGAGGAGCGCCGCGAAGCCTGACCGACGCGCTGACCCCTATACGGTGGCAGCCACGGTGGCGCTCATCAAGGGCCTCTACCACCAGAAGGCCATCTTAAGGCCCGACCACGAGGACGTCATGATGGACCTGGCCGACAAGGTCGAGGCGGAGCTGCCCAGCCGTGCGGTCGCGAAGCCTGCCCCCACGTTCAGCTCCCAGTCGGACCCCTTCGAGAACGCCAGCGGCATCATCCAGGCGCAGTTTCGCACGAGCAGGAGCGCGCTGGAGGCGCGACCGGGGGCCAGGGTCCGCCCAGGCACGGCCGTGTACAAGTGGTCGCGGCGCCACGCGGGCTGGGCGCGCACCGGCCTGAGGATCAAGTCGAGCGGCCGCACCGCGCGCGAAGACCTCTTCGGCCACGCCTACACCAGGGAGGTTGCCACTCCATGGGAGTCCGTCCTGGCACGCGTGCCTAGGCGCAGGAATCGCAGGGCGAGAGGCAAGGTGCTCCACAAGGGCGACATGGGCTTCGCGAGGGCGGTCTGGTTAGGGAAGAGCTACGACACCGACGAGCACATCTGCGCCATCGAGGCGCGTGAGCTGATCACGACGAGGACCGTCAAGAGGCTGCCCGAGGAGCGGAGGTTCAATTGCACAGTCGTGGCGGCGATCATGCACATGCCGTGGCAGCGCCGAGGGCAGGGCACGGTCCCGCGAGGGATCGAGCCGATCGTCGCGCCCCCTGCCGCTGCGGACGCCGACCTGGCGGCGCAAGAGGCAGCGGAGGCACGGCCAGACCCTGCCGCCGCAGCCCAGTCCAGTGCACCCGCCACGCCAGGCGGGCCAGCGGCCCAGACGGGCTCGCCCATGGTGGCGCCCTCAGCCGGCGCGGCGGCCCAGACGTGCACGCCCACGGCGGCGCCCTGAACCGGCGCGGCGGCCGGCGCCGAGGCGCCTGCTGGGGACAGGCAGGCGGTGCCAGCAGCATCGAGGTCAGCTGCGGGAGGCGCTGGGGGCGACACCCCCATGACGCCGCGGGCTGCAGCGCCAGCGAGCGTGGCTCCGCAGTCACCTCCGATGGGCCGATCGCCGAAGCGACCTGCGGAGGCCTGAAGCAGCACGGGGTGAGCATGCTTGTCAAGCGGAGCGAGGCCGTCGGCAAGAGGATCAGTGCCCGCTGGGACCACGTCTACAAGTGGGACGCGAACCTCGGGTGTAGGGTCGCGAAGTCGAGGTACGTCGCGCGAGAGTTCAAGTGGCAGGAGTATCGCGACGACCTCTTCACGCCGGGGAGCAGCATGGCCGACAGCCGAGTGGTGGACTACGTGGCTCTGAAGCACGGATGGCCCACCTTCACAGTGGACGCGGAGGACGCGTACTACCACGTCC